TTGATAAAGTTCCTCATCAAAGGCTCCTAAGCAAGCTCAAAAATCATGGGATAAAAGGACAAGTCCTTTTATGGATCAAAAACTGGCTAATTAATAGAAAACAGAGAGTGAGTATAAATGGGCAGTTCTCCCAGTGGAGGGGTGTAAGCAGTGGGGTACCACAGGGATCAGTACTTGGTCCACTGCTTTTTAACTTGTTCATTAATGATTTGGAGATGGGAGTAAGCAGTGAAGTGGCTAAATTTGCGGATGATACGAAGTTGTTCAGGGTGGTGAAAACCAGTGAGGATTGTGAGGCACTCCAAAGGGATCTGTCAAAGTTGGGCGAGTGGGCGTCAACATGGCAAATGGGGTTCAATGTGGCCAAGTGCAAGGTGATGCACATTGGAGCCAAAAATCCTAACTATAAATACACGTTGATGGGGTCTGAACTGGCAGAGACTGATCAAGAGAGAGATCTTGGAGTTGTAGTAGATAACTCACTGAAAATGTCGAGACAGTGTGTGACTGCAATAAAGAAGGCCAATGCTATGCTGGGGATTATTAGGAAGGGTATTGTAAACAGATCAGCCAATATCATAATGCCGCTATATAAATCAATGGTGCGACCTCATTTGGAATACTGTGTGCAGTTCTGGTCACCACACCTTAAAAAGGATATTATAGCTTTGGAAAAAGTGCAGAAAAGGGCAACTCGAATGATAAAAGGGTTGGAACACTTTCCCTATGAGGAACGGTTAAGGCGCTTAGGGCTCTTTAGCTTGGAGAAACGACGACTGAGGGGTGACATGATTGAGGTTTATAAGATTATGCATGGGAAAGAGCAGGTAGAGAAAGAGGTACTTTTCTCCCTTTCTCACAATACAAGAACTCGTGGGCACTCCATGAAATTGCTGAGCGATCGGGTTAGAACGGATAAAAGGAAGTACTTCTTCACCCTGCAATGGTCCGCCCTCTCTTGAAAAAGCCATGTCTGGATCCGGCCGAATTGGCCAACTATCGTCCGGTTTCCAATTTACCCTATTTGGGCAAACATATTGAGAGGGCGGTGGCGACACAGTTACAGGGCTACCTGGATGAGGCTTCTGTCCTCGATCCCTTCCAGTCCGGCTTTCGCCCTGGCCACGGGACGGAGACGGTGCTGGTCACCTTGACGGATGACCTCCGTAGGCATCTGGATCGAGGTGGTGTGGCGTCACTGGTGTTGTTGGACCTGTCGGCTGCGTTTGATATGGTCGACCACCAGTTGCTGGCCCGCCGCCTCGCCGACGCGGGGATTCAGGGGCTTGCCCTTCAGTGGTTTGTCTCTTTTCTCCAAGGTCGGGGACAAAGGGTAGCGATTGGGGACCAGCAATCTCGAAGGCATCCCCTTGAGTGTGGGGTGCCCCAGGGAGCCGTGTCAGATTGCTCGTATCTGTGCGCCCAACCACATGCTATCTTGATCCCTGCTCCTCTTGGCTCATTAAAACGGGCTGCGAGGCGTTTTGAGGTGCCCTGCGGGAGATTGTCAACAAGTCCCTTTCGGAGGGACGGTTCCCTGGAGGACTCAAGGAAGCGATGATCTGCCCTCTCTTGAAAAAACCATCCTACACTAACACGGTGTCAAATTTGCCCTATCTGGGCAAACTGATTGAGAGGGAGGTGGCGACACAGTTACAGAGATTTCTGGAGGATGCTTCCATCCTTGACCCATTCCAGTCCGGCTTTCGCCCGGGTCATGGGACGGAGACGGTGCTGGTTGCCCTTACTGATGACCTCCGGAGGCATCTGGATCGTGGCGGTGTGGTGGCACTGTTGTTGTTAGATCTGTCGGCCGCATTTGATACGGTTGACCACCAGTTGCTAGCCCACCGCCTCCCTGACGCGGGGATTCAGGGGCTTGCCCTTCAATGGTTGGCCTCTTTTCTCCCAGGTCGAAGACAAATGGGGGCGATAGGGGATTTCAGACTGAGTCAGCTGAAACTAAACCCGGCAAAGACGGAGGTCCTAGGTCTGAGTCGGATCGGTTCGGGGCTGGGGCTCCCGGCCTTCGACGGGGCGCCTTTGGTGCCAGCGTCGGAGGTTAGACGTTTGGGTGTGCTCCTGGACTCCTCTCTAATGATGGAGGCCCAGGTAGCAGCCACTGCTAAGTCGGCGTTTTACCATCTTCGGCTGGCGCGGAAGTTGGTCCCCTTCCTCGACCGTGACAACCTGGCCACAGTGATCCATGCGACGGTCACCTCAAGGTTAGACTACTGTAACACTCTCTACATGGGGCTGCCTTTGTCGCAAATTCGGAGGCTGCAGCTAGTGCAGAATGCTGCAGCCAGGCTGTTGATGGATCTCCCTAGACGGGATCACATCCAGCCTGTGCTGAAAGCGCTGCACTGGTTGCCATTAGTGTACCAGATTCGCTTCAAAGTGCTGGTTCTTACCTTTAAAGCCCTATATGACCAGGGTCCGGCCTACCTAAGGGACCGCCTTTCCCCACATGTTCCCCCAAGGGCACTACGGTCGGGGACCCAAAATCTTCTAGATATTCCAGGCCCCAGGAACATCAAACTCGCTGTGACCAGGGCCAGGGCGTTTTCAGTGGCGGCTCCTACCTGGTGGAATGAGCTCCCAGAAGAGATCCGGGCCCTGCGGGACCTTGGGCAGTTCCGCAGGGCCTGTAAAACGGAGCTCTTCCGCCAGGCTTTCGAGTAGGAGCTGCCGCCACCATTATTCCATCAACGCTTTTTCCATCACCACACCCTTACCACCGCTGGTGCGGGTATCATCGGGGGTGCGAGACGTACCTGGTGGATGACAGGGTTGTGGGGACATATACGGTTGTTGTATTGTTTTAACATCTGTAGAACACCATCTTGATCTTATGAATTGGAGTGAGTAGTAGAGCACCGATATTTTATTAATTGTATTATATTGTATATTGTATTGTATTTTTATACTGTTCTTATTGTTTTATCAGGCATTTTATGCCCTTGTTAGCCGCCCTGAGCCTCCAGGGAGGGCGGGATACAAATCTAAAGAATAAATAAATAAATAATGCGCTGTGGAGAAGGAGGCCCAAAGAAGAGATTTTGGGGGTGTACTCAAATATAGGCACCCTTCGAGTGCACACCTTGATGGCCATGTGCTTGGATGGATATAAATATTGTGACACAATGTGGACCAAAGCCTTGAGGGGCTTGTCTCAGGTGAAGACAAAAGGCTGCCTGGACTAATAAGGGGTTCCAGGGGGTGTGCCGCCAGGAGGAGCAAAACCTAGGTGTGACCAATGAGGTTTCAGAGGGGGCAGAGTCTGGATTCACAATAGCATTGATGGGATTAGCCAAGTGCTGGATGGCTCTACTGGAGCTGGCTGAATGGGTTTGATGACCATTGATGGTCCTGCCCAGGCAGGTTGAATAGGTTCCCAGGTTTACACAAAAGGTGGAAAATAGGTCCCTGATTGGCATCAGGAAGGATCACTAAACATTTGAATGATTGGTTTATCTCACTATCCTGAGGGATGGCTCAGGAAGGACAGTTGTGGAGCCAAAGGATTTCCACAAACACATAGGTAATCACACAATAGGGTTAGGTGAAGTTCTGGAGGCAGAAGGGCTGTTTGCCAGGTGGCCTCTGAATAGCTTTAGAAATGCAGATACGTACCTGGTGGGATTCGGCATTGTTTCATATGCATACCTTGTTGGGTGGAGGGGGAAGGCTGGAGATTGCTTTGAGGGCTGCCTTGTGCAACCTGAAAATTGAGACCCTTTTCTAGAGCTGTGGCTAGCTTTGTGTTTCAGGCCAAGACTGCCTTCTTTGGCCTGAGTTTGTGGGTCCCTGGTTCGGGTTAGAAGTGGGGTGCCCTGTTATTTAGGGCCACCTGCGAGTAAGGCAGCGCCTCTGGGCTACAGAACCACCTGCCAACCACAAGCTCTAGGAGGCACTCGCCTTGCCCACTTTCCTGGAACCTTAGGACTGCATCACATCAGGGAACGGTGCTCAGAGGAGCCACAAGAAGCATGCCAAAGATCCACATGTGGTTCCAAAGCCACTGAAAAGAGTGTCACAGGTATAGGTCTTCAGTGAGGCTACATAGGTGTAACTAATATGGAAGTTACAGGGTTTTGCAGTATTTGTCATTCTTGTTTGCCAAGCCAAAGTAAAAGATTTGTCTGATGTTGAGCTTTGTTAGCTTGCTTGTTAAAGAGTTTTTATTATTTTTGAGCTCTGACATGCTTAATGTGAGGTACTAAATACAGAACCCAGTTAAATAGTATACCGAAAAATTATTTCAAGACTAATATATGTATAAACTATTTTAAGGGGAGAACTGTTCATCCATGGAGTCCCATCCCTGCTATCTGAAGTGGCACAATCCAGGAAAGACTGTCTAATACCGGTGAATGTATAAACTGGTGTATATGTTCAGGAAAAAAATTACACGAGGCCTTCTAAAAAACAAAAATGTGATCTGATGTTTTTAACAAAACAGCCTGTTCCCATTTAATGCAGAATGTAAGAAAAAAATGGTCTAATTTCTATTGAATAAAATATACCCTTGTTAATGATGTATGTGTAAAATAATTCACTGTTTGGACTTCAGTGTTACCTGTGTTTGCTCCTGGTGGCAGTCACTTCCATCAGAAGAAGAGGGAAGCAATTTTTGCTAATGTCCCCTTCTTTCATTGCAGACCCTTTGCACCCACCCCCATGTTGTTCCCACCAGCCCCTGGGAGTAGGATTTGAAGAGGCGTAGCTAGCTGTAGCAGGATGGGAGAAGTTGGAAAGTTCCCTTCCATGAGTAGGATCAGAGCCTATGCCTTTGAATAAATTGATGTTAGTAACATTACCAGTAATGTTTTATCATTTAAAACAAGTCACTTGAAAGCCTGAAAAAGTCTGTTCATTCTTTTAAAAGGGCATAACCTTTTGGAGATGGTGTGATCCATTTAGGTAGTTTAATATGCTAGTCTACCCCCCTACCCATCTGTTTAAAATAATGCTTGATATTGCCTTTTTTCCAACAGAGGCGGATGCCCCAAACGTTCCGTGATCCTGCAACTGCTCCTTTGAGGAAACTGTCTGTGGATTTGATCAAAACATACAAACATATTAATGAGGTAAAGTCTTCATTTTTAATTAGTACATAAATGATTTTACATTGTTCTTTATTTAAATAGGTTTCTGGAACGTTTTTCTAATGCCCTAAAAATCAATTGGAATCTGACCTTGCATGTTTACTTTGAATTATATCTCTAAACCTACAGCAGATAAATTCAGTTTCATTGTGTGAATTCAGTAGTGTTTGATGTCCATTGCTTTTCCATAGTAAACACCTTTTCCCCTCTGTGGTCCTCGATTTGGTGGGGGGGAAATGCTGTAAAACAAAAACATAATTGTGGGAGAATAAGTGAACATTGTAATTGTTTCAAATTGGCTTTACACTGTTATTATGCTACTTAGGTTTACTATGCAAAAAAGAAGCGACGACACCAACAGGGTCAAGGAGATGATTCTAGTCACAAAAAGGAGCGAAAGGTTTACAACGATGGATATGATGATGATAACTATGACTACATTGTGAAAAATGGGGAAAAGTGGATGGATCGTTATGAAATTGACTCTCTAATAGGCAAAGGTTCCTTTGGACAGGTAATGAATTCCAGTTTGAAAAATCATCATTACTTATAAGCAGCACAAACAAGCAACACATTTGGTTCATTGTTCAGAGTGCACCTCTCAGTTAATTTTCTTTTATTTAGATATTATTTTGAGATATTTAGATCTTAATGTGTAAATGTGAGAAAATGTTTTATTAGTATTGTTTTTTATTATACAGGTTGTAAAGGCATATGATCGTGTGGAACAGGAGTGGGTGGCTATTAAAATTATAAAGAACAAGAAGGCTTTCCTAAATCAAGCCCAGATTGAAGTGCGGCTTCTTGAGCTTATGAACAAACATGATACAGAAATGAAGTATTATATAGGTACTAAAAGTATTTTTTCTGTGATTCAATGTTGAATATGGAGAATTGGCTGGGGGGAACTCACCTTTTTCTATAAATAAGTGTTGCGTATTTATCATAATGCTAAAGAACTGTATTATTCTCATTTTAAGAACAGTAGTTGGGTTCAGTTCTTCAGTTTCAAAGAAACTACTTTAATGTTAATATGCACTTTGTGTCTGAGCAAGGAAAAACTATTAAAGAGGCCTAACATCATTTTCCCCACAATTTCCTGGACTTTTGTTGCCTTATGTATTTGACTAGGTCTTTTTTCTTTCTTTCTGTTTTTGGAATGACAGTCTGTAGATAGAAAATCTGTGAAAGTGTTCTAACTGCTTTTAATAATTCAAGGCAGATAAACTTCAGAGGATTGTGGCAGTGGTGAAATGTGTCATCAAGTCACAGCTGACTTATGGCAGCCCTGTAGGGGTTTCAAGGCAAGAGACATTCAGAGGTGGTTTGTCATTATCTGCCTTCAAGTCACGGCCCTGGTATTCCTTGGATGTCTCCCATCCAAATACTAGCCAGGGCTGACCCTGCTTAGCTGCTGAGATCTGATGAGATTGGGCTAGCCTGGGCTATCCAGGTCTGGGCCAGAGGATTGTAGCAGTTTTATCTAGAATACCATCTCAGTTGATTGCAGGTAAATTGTGGATGATATCCAAGTTTTATGCCAACTCTAACAGTGATCTTACTTTATCAGTGAAGACCCTGGTAGGTTTGTAACCCCCAACTGTTTAGCAAATTGTTCATATTCAGAGGCAGCAAACCTCTGAAACCCAGTACTAGGAGGCAACATCAGGGGAGGGCCTTGGCAGGTATGTCTGGTCTGTTGGTCCTCCAGGGCAACTGGTTGGCCACTGTGTGAAACAGGATGCTGAACTAGAAGAACCATTGTTCTGGTCTACCAGTGTTCTTATGTTCTTAAGTCCATGAGTGTGCTTGCTCATCCTAATAATATTTCCAAATGAGATGTAGCTTGGTATGTTTATGTTTACATTAGAGTTATGTTCCCTTGTTAGCAATCTTGCTTTGGCACTTTAAGTATATTATTACTTAAAGCAGAGCAGGTAATGAAAGGTATATATTATTACTTAAAGCAGAGCAGGTAATGAAAGGTGGGCACTTCTGTGGCTCTTTCCACATCAACACTATTTTATTATCTGTTTCATTCAGTTAGCTCCTCTCTACTTTAAAGATGACAGTGGCTGGTACAATCTACCTTGATTTGTAGTGCGGTGCTCTGCTGGTATCACCTTTGAACAAGTTGTGCTTATATAAATTTTGGAGGCTACTAATGATTGGCTTTATGTAATTTCTGTGATTTTTATCTATAACCAAAGCTTGGCTTTATCGAAATTCGGAGTTAGGTACATTGCAGCTTTCCCCGTCTAAGTGGCTGGCAGCTGAATTTATTCACTAAGCAGAACCAATAGGGATAACGTTGCAAGCAAAATAGTGTGCTGCTCGATTTCACTATCCACTATACTTATGAGTTTCTCAGCAACATATGTCTTACACAACTGCCCACCTCAACTCTGTGAAGCAATACTTAATGGTAATAGAATTGATATTAGCGTACTTATTTAGTATAGTACTGAAATGATATCCTAAGTGTTAAGCCCAATCCCTTAATGTGCACATGTACATGCATGCATAGACACAAAGAGTGTAAAGTTTAGGGGGTTTAAAGATAAAATTGATGACCTAGGAGGAATCTCTCGCTTTCGCTCATATATTCATTATACTTCTGCCAAAACGTTTGGTGTAGCATGCTGGTGTTTTCTCTTTTTCAGTTCAAAGCAGCCATATGAAATAGGTTTGGTTGAAAAACAATGACTAGCTGAAAGTGTAAACTTAATGGCTGAAAAGGGATTTGAATATGAGTCTTCCCAGTACAATGCTGTGCTGGCTTTTGTGATTCTGAGGAGTTCCATATTCAGATATGACCAAATTGCCCTATGCAGTATGCACCATTTAATTTTTCAGCAGTTTGGCATAGCAGAAGATGAATTAGAATTTCTGGTTACAAAGTCACTCACTCTTGTCCCCCATGCAGTTAATGCCTTACACTTCCAGTAAACATGCTGCTTTTGAGTGAGAAACTGTGCATCTGGTCATTCATGGTGAATGAGGGGAATGAAAACAAAAACAGTTTCTTTGGATTTTTGCAGGAAAAGAAAGAAGAGAACACATTCCTCTATTTTCCATGATGGAAAGGAGGTCTGGCTGCATACTTGCTCACTCTCACTCACTTTCCCCCCCAATAGGAGGCAGTAGAGTAGTGTGGGAGTGCTGTCACTTTCTGTAAAAGCCCAGCTCCCAGGAATATAACCATCCCTTCTTCCACAGAAATATGGGGCCAGAAGAGGGTGATTTCTCGCTGTTCCCCTTAAGCTTTTACAGATGGCAGTAGGAACACTGAGGTAGTGCTTGTGCCTTTTGCAAATCCCCAGTGCCATAGGCAAACCTGCCTCATTTCCTAGAGTCTCCTGCACATGCCACCGGACCAGAGAAAAGGAAACATAAGAACATAAGAACATAAGAGATGCCAATGTTGGATCAGGCCAAAGGCCCATCCAGTCCAACACTCTGTAGCACACAGTGGCCAGAAATACCAGTGCCATCAGGAGGTCCACCAGTGGGGCCAGGACATTAGAAGCCATCCCACTGTTGACGTCTGTGACCACCAATCCAAAATTTGTGGACACCTGGTTGCTAGAAATAAATCCCAGAGATATTTTGTTCCCCAAAGGCCCCATAAAAAGATATGGAGAAGACTGGAATGTATCTTGAGATTTCTTAGCTTTATCACCTGAAATACTGACTAAAAGGTGCTCTTGATGACTTTCACAGGAGTCTTACAAAAATCCTTTAAACATTTATTTTCTCAACCTTTGCAGAAGACAACATAGTTCTTAATAGTTGGGCTTAGAGATGGGCTCCAGGAGGTTCAGCAGTGTTCCTGGAGTTCATAAACAAAATGGACCAGTGTTAGAAGTAGATAAATAGCCAGCCTGAGGAGCATCCTGCAGACTATTCCCACTGTTTTAAATCTAGATATGAAAATGCTTGCATCTCTTATGTCAAGTAGATTCCAGTGAAACTTCAGTCATGTGAGGTTAGTGCAGACTGACATCTTGCTCAGGTAAATCTTTATGTAAGTACTTTGCTGGAGGAGAACATAGTTTTACACTAATCACATAGATTTATAGAAAATAATAATCCATTTGTAAAGTAATTGATTATAATGACCTTGAGATTTCGCAAAATCTTCTGGAAGGTCAAAAATGCCCTTTATAGAGTGTTCCAGACCACATGTACAAATACTGTTAACTTTACATTCTCCAAAGACAGGGTATCCTGTCTCTGTATTATCTCTATTGTTTGATTGAACCACTCTGAATATGGAATAGTTTAGTGTAATCCAAATAATGGTGCTCAACATACCAAATATGTCTTGCTTATGGCAGTTAATGAACTGCTTCACTTTGAGACCATGTCACATTTCAGTACATGTACTTCCCTGTCAAGATATCCATATTCCTTTTTAAAGTGAAGATATGAAAAAATAATACTGGTATTTCTGATAACATTAATATGGGATATAAAGTGCAGTCAATGCCAGCTACTTTACTGATAGTCTTCATTTCCCACTTGTAAATGTAATTCCTGTTTGCAGTTAGGGACATTTAAGCAATGACAATAGTCAACTTCTCTGAGGGCATAGTTATAATAAATGTATATTTTATTGTTTATTGTATACAATATACAATAAATGTATACAATATTAAATAATTAAAAGAAGACAAAAATTAATATCTCCAGCTGCAACATTTTCAAGCAGTTTGGGACCTGAGCCAATTAACTCAGCAGCATGGGAATGACTAGTGCAAATTGCAAATATCTTTTACATAGGCAGGGGTCATTTAGAAGAAGAAGAAGAAGAAGAGGTACATGAGCTCATTAGCATAACTCATTTGCATATGCCAGACCCCCTGAAATCACCGGAAGTGTGTCATAAGGCACCACCCACCGCTCAGGCTCCACCCCAAAAATCTCCAGATATTTCCCAACTTAGATTCAAACCTGGGTCTCTCAAATCCTTATCTGGAACACTAACCACTACACAACACTTCATGAGGCAGTGGCTGTTGAGCAGTAGCAAGCAGGTGGGCCTGCATGAGTTATACAAGTTTAGACATTTACGAACACTGAGATGTAATGCTAGTGAACATAGGTATTGCAAGTGTTCACTGGCATATATGACAAGCCTGGACATTCACCAAACTTCCCACTGGCTATGTTTCTGCTTGCTGGACATATGTTGGTAAGTACTAACATTCACCAACTGCATTTGGGACTAAGTTAGAGTCCAGGGGCACCTTTAAGACCAACAAAGTTCCATTCAAAGCACGAGCCCTCGTGTCCATCTCCCCAGACACACTGAAATGGAAGCCAACAGTTCACATATACAGAGGCATCTGTCTATATATGCGAACTGTTAACCTCCATCCCAATGCATTCGAGGAAGTGTGTGTGCACATCTGGGCCTCTGAATGTTCCCCCCAAATTCCAACCATCTGACAACACATTTTTCCCCTTGCTTGCTACCTTTTGCTTAAAACAATAAAAAGAATGCAATTTTCATTAATTTCTAAAGCATCAACACAGCAAAGGACAGAGGGGGAAAGCCTTGCCTATCCACCACAGACACAAGATGTGCAAGTTGAGAATGGATTATTTTACTGTTTCCACTTGTGGCCACCTGGAGTAGGAGACTGGAGAGGCAGCATATATAGAAGGTTCCTAAATAAAGAAGGCATGGATGTGTCCCCAGGTTCCTTTGCTCCAGAGGTCCAGCAGGATGTTTGGTTTGTCTGGCCCCCTCAGGACTTCTCCAACTGCTCAAACCTTCTTTGGGACAGGAGGCCCCTTCTGGAGTTGCACAGCCCTTATCCTGAAGGGAGGTGTCATGCCAA